GCCCCAAAGAAGAGAGAGTCAAGCTATTCTCCAAAGCACCTGAGGGTAGAACAAGAAGCAATGGTTGGAAACTAATCAAGGAAGATCTAACTTAGAGCTAAGGAGAAATTTCCTCCAGTGAGAATTATTAATCAGTGTCATCGCTTCCCTTCGGAAATTTTGAGTGCTCCATCACTAGAGGCTTTTAAGAAGAGATTAGACAACCATTTGTCTGAAATGGCATAATGTCTCCTGCCTGAGCAGGGGGTTGGACTAGAAGACCTCCAAGGTCCCTTCCAACTCTGCTATTTCATTCCCAGCTTTTAGAGGACGGCCACTGAAGCCCTACAGCATTCCTTTTATCTTTTTTTGGGTTTGGCTTTGAGAGATAAGCTGAAGTTTTAGCCACTAAGCTTTAGGGCCAGAGTTTCAAATGTATCCTTCATTTTATGCTACCCTGGAATGGAATGAAATAGCAGAGTTGGAAGGGACCTTGGAGGTCTTATAGTCCAACCCCCTGCTCAGGCAGGAAACCCTATGCCATTTCAGACAAATGGTTGTCCAATCTCTTCTGAAAAAACTTCCAGTGTTAGAGAATTCACAACTTTTGGAGGCAAGTTGTTCCACTGATCAATTGTTCTAACTGTCAAGAAATTTCTCCTCAGTTCTAAGCTGCTTGTCTCCTTGATTAGCTTTCACCCATTGCTTCTTGTCCTGCCCTCAGGTGCTTTGAAGAATAGCTTGACTCCCTCTTCTTTGTGGCAACCCCTGAGAAGCTTCCCTACTTTAAGGGAATCCATTCCAAGAGACCAGCCGGGGTTAGAATCATGTGGGGTTCCCTAGTGGAAAACCCCATCTAAGCCCAGGGGAACCCTTCAAGGAGGAAGGTACCTACGCTGGCATCCTTGTGGGTTTTTTGCACTCAGTCCGGAGAATCCAGATTTGCATCTGTCACAGCGGGCTCCCTCCACGTGCTCCTTGCACCGACACTGTCCGGCTATCAGCCTCAGCATTGGATCATCGTGTGTGTCACACACTCCGCCGTCTAACGTCCCATCAGGGTCACAGTCACAAGCTACATGGCAGAAGAGGGGGGGGGGGGGAATTATGGTGCTGCGGTGAAGAGAACACTGGCCACAAATTCAGATCCTAAAGAAAGAATTTCCCACAATCACATCATCCCCACTTGTGCTCTTCACTGCCAGCTTCCAATAAGTCAAGTCAGTGAGGAAACCAGCCACCATGATGTTGTACTTAATGACTGCACATGATTCCTTAACAACCACAAGCTGAACTATCATTGCGCACTGAAGATCGCATTTAATTTTGTTGTACAAGGTGCAATGGCAATAAAGTAAACTAAAGTAAAGTTTAAAAAAAAAGACCAGCAGGGAACAATTAACACACAAATGGCTTCAGATCCAAAGTAAAAAGAAAACAACAACAACACCCTATCTTTTTTTCGTGGATTATCACTGGCTAATAATGTTGCTAAAAGAAAAGGTGAGATACTACACGTAGTCCTCAGCTTACGACCAGTGGCTTAGTGACTATTTCAAGTTATGGTAGACCTCTCCTCAGGGCTACCTGCGGCCTGGATTTGAAATTTTGTCGGCCACCCATAGTCACACAATCACTTTTTGAGTGCTAAGGAACCAGTCCACACTTATGGCTATTTGCAGTGCCCGACACTGACATGATTATTATTTTTTGGCTGGGAACAAGCATTTACTTCTAACCGTGTTTCCCTGAAAATATGACCTACTCAGAAAGTAAGTCCTAGCTTGATTTTTACACGTACACCAACTATAAGTCCTACCCCCCCAAAATAAGCCCTATTTAAGACCCCCGCCCGCTCCAAGGCGCACTGGTAAAAATTAAGCTAGAGTGGGGATGGGGTATGTGTGGTGCTGCCCTACTACTTCGGATAGTTGCAGCCATTGCCTTACACACCTCGGCCCATTTCTTCTGCAGCCAGCAAGGCTTTGCTGAAGGCCTCTGTAGCCGATAGCAGAGCTCCGGATCAACCCAGAGCTCTGTTATCGGCTGCAGAGGCCTTCAGGAAAGTTTTGCTGGACAAAGTTCTGACAGAGAAAAAGAGGCTGGGGCTGACGCACACAAGTGAGGTGAGTCAGTGGACAGTATCCCCCCCTGGCCTAAAATAAGACCTGGTATTTTGGTGGCAAAACTATAAGGCAGAGTCTTATTTGGGGGGAAACACGGTGGTTTCCAGCAAAAAAATGCCCATTGCAGATAATGGATTTGCTTAACAATCATGGAGCCCACCTAACAGCAGTGTTGCTTCACTTAATGACTACTGTAAAAAAGGTTGTAAAATCGGACATGGTCACCTGGTGACTCCTTAATGACTGGCACGACTTGCGACTGTAATTCTGGGCTGAATTTATGGTCCTAAGTCAAGGGCTGCCTGTAGTTTACCTTTCCTATTTCAAGCTTGAGTGGAAACACGGCCCTTTTAAGTTCCCATCATTGTGCGGAGCCATTGTGCTAAGCCAGCGTTTTTCAACCTCGGCGACTTTAAGATGTCTGGACACGTTTTAAAGTTGCCAAGGTTGAAAAGCACAAGGCTGAATTATCCACTCTGCTAGCTCAGCCCGTGGCACGACAAAATCGCGCTCCACTAAAGCGCGCCCGATTAAACCGCGTCACTGACGTCATCAGCAGGGCGACAACAGCGACCGCGGAGAAAAAAGGGCCCTTTAAATAGCGCTTTGAAAGCAAGCCGATTCAAGTTAAGGTAAGGGTTAGGTTTAGAGTTAGGTTAAGGGTTAGGGTTAGGTTAAGGGTTAGGGTTAGGTTAAGGGTTAGGGTTAGG